TGAAATCTGTCCTGCAGTTTTCAGACTAACTGAATCACCTCTTTAGCAAAGTTTAGCAAAATCCTGGTAACGCACCACTCACTTGATTCAGGACGCAGCATCATCCCGGACCGTCTGGAGTCGTTTCCGATTTCTTTATCCAGCCTGAAAACACTTTGGCACTGCACCGCCCTCCGTTCTATACGTCACAGCAATAGTATAAAAGTAAGTGGTTAAAAGTAGCGAGAGGAAAACTCCTGTGCATAATAGCTTTAAGTCCGCTGATGCTGAAGTCTGAAACTTGGCCTTGTACACCTGTGTGTCAGCTCAGACCCCAGCTCCAGGTTTCCCTCACTTCACAGGACATTGCATCACAGAGTTACACGTATCTTGTGCAGACTTACACTAACCCGAATGGAGTTTGCATAACCCAACATCAGCTTCACACAGACATTTACGTGGATAGCAGACAGAAATTGTCAAAAAAAAAAAAAGTTCAGGTACATTCTGTCAGTACAAGCTGACGAAGAAGAACGTTGTTGCAAGAATCTCAGGAGTCGCCTTCTGTGGGATTTAATCACCGTCTCTTTTCAAAGCTCCAGTATCTAACTTTTAGAGAAAAATCTGTTTTTTTTAAATATATTCTCAAAGCTGTCGCTCTGTTTTGAAAGTATAGTTTTAAGAAATCAAGCTCCTCTTCTTCTGCTCTGTGGTCATACTGTCATCTGCAGTAACGCGCCTCTCGGTCAAGCAACCAATCAGAGCCAGGACGATGGGCTTAGCGCTGCCAATCACATGCATGTTTTTTCACAGATTATCTGTCTCATGTTATGCTATCACAGCATAGTGACAGTTAAAAAAAAAGGAAGGCCTTGACAAGGAGTTGACAAGTTGACAATATTTTTCTCATGTTAATAATAATAATAATAATAACTGTGAGATTGAAGCAGATCTGAGGGTTACGATCTTTGCAACACGTTTACATTTCCATCAGAATGAAACATGATTATGATGCTCTTTAAAGGCCATTCCACCTGGTCACAACAGAGAGGAGAGCTCACTGAGCCACAACCTGCCCCTACGCACTTTATGTGTGTGTGTCACCTACACCCAGAGCAGAGCTGCCACTGGATGAAAAATTGAAAGAAAAACACACACGCAGTGATTTTCAAGGTCAGGCGGAGACGTTGAGCCGATGTGGACGTTTTATGCTACAGTTACATCAACGCAGGCGGCTGTTTTTTTTTTTTCCTTTTAAATATTTACTACATTTATTTTAGACATTAATAAATAGCCATTTGAAAATTGATGAATGCGTAAAGCTTCGAACTTCCTCCCTTTTGCATTTCAATTTGTTTCCAGGAAAACTGGAAACAGGAGCAGCAACTAAAGCACATGCGTGATGACGATGGGCTAAAAATGCAACGGTTTATTGTGTGTTTGTTTTAAATTAAGACAGGCTCTGATGCTCCTGTTCAGTGTTTTGGTTTTGAGATTTTACAGAAGAAAAATGAGAGCAGGATTAAGAAAGGTGAAAGTATCGACTTCTGAGTTTGTCAGAAAACACACAGAAAAGCGTATTTTTGTGAAATGTGTCTCGTCAGAAATTTGCATAAATTCATCTTGGACGTAGATGCTCAGATTAATTGCATCCTTTTTAATGCAATTACATATGATAAAACTAGAGCTGCAACAATTATAAACAAGAGGCGTTCTCAATGAGTTTCTCGTGAATAAAGAAAAAGCCGAGCCCTTATAGTTTCTTTAGGGACCAAAGAATGGGTCAACGCAATACTTTCTTCCTGAGTTAATACAGGAGACAGACAAAACTCCAGATGTTTCACTGCTTTCGGCTCTTTATTTGGCTCTTTGAAAGAGCTCAGAGGCTCATTCGCCGTTAGCAGCTCCTCAAGAAACTTTGGTCTGAGAAACAAAATGCTGAAAAACAATCTCTTAACTCCAGACCTTTTTGAAAACACCATGCAGTGGTGAATCTTTCCAAAAGTAAAGGTTTTCTACTGAGTGGGTTTCTGGATTTCTGAAAATTAAGTTTTTCTTTTTTCTTCTTCTTTAAAGTTCACTGAAAAAACAAAAACAAAAAAAACGTTACTTTGCATGCATTGCAAACGACTAAAATTGTACAAGTTCGGAGTCTGATCCTGATCAGCGATGTTTGCTGGTAGGACTGAGATCATGTGATATTTGTAGTGAGGGGGGGGAGGCAAAAAAAATGTCTGAACGTGAAAAACCGTCGACCAGAACAGATGTTTTTGAAACAGTTTTGCCCAAATGATCAAAGACGGTTCTCATAGTTTGAGCTGTTCCTGTTTACAATCCAATTCTGTGTTTTTTCTTCTCTCTTTTTTTTTTTCGGTCACCGATTTTTCCTGTAATCCATACAGTTCTCATACACATGACTAAAAGGTTCATCCATGCAGGTCACACACACACAGGCCCACACACACACACTTTTGGAGGTGGAATAGTAATGACAAAATGTAAAGACAAACAACAACAAAAAGCTGACGGCCGTGGGCAGGAAAGCTACCCTCAGCATCCTCATGCCCTTTGTTTCTGCCCTCCAGAGACCTTGTTTTGGAGGGCAGAATTGATTTCTACGCCATATCACATATAAATAAGAAGAACGGGGAAAAACAACTGCATTACCCAAACATGTTATTTAGGTCAGAAACTTTATATGAAGTGACTCTGACTGTTTGAAAAAGCAAAATCGGGCCGGTACCGTTAACCTGCAGAGTTCAGTTCTCGACTTTGGGAACCTTTCTCATGATTTACTTTAGGATCGGGCCTTAAGGCGTCCCACAGGACGTTTATAGCCCTCCTCCAGGCTTCGGCTGTCACTGCTCTGCATCAAGATGGGCCTGTGCTGCTTCAGTGACGTGCTCTGCAGGGCTGCGGGTGATTTGCGGACTTTTTGGTTGTTTTAAATTCTGGTCTGGATAAGCTTTTAATTCTGATGACAGCGAATCCGAGACACAGCATGCAGAAAAATGAAAGGTCTTGCCAATCAGCCAGCTTCCAGATGGCGGAGCGGATTAAAATCTGCTGGATCTTTCCTGCCTTTATACATTCATCATTTTTTGCAGCTCAAGCACATTATCACAGAGTCCCTTCGGTGTTGCACATAGGCGCAGCTCACAACTCCACTGTGCAGCTGGTCTTTCTCTCTTGTACTTCGCAGTGCAAAGGCAGAGTAAGGGACAGCTGTCCCCTAATGTTTTACATTTGGACACAAATTCAGATTTTCTGTCTGATGTGACAAACTCCAGTCATTTCCTAAGTCTGATATTTAATAAATCAAGTTATAGGTGCTTGTCAAACTTGAAATCAGAGATGTTTCTCCTGGATTGATCCAAGCGAATTAGATGCATCTTTATGACAGGATGTCGTCAGCTAAATGCTGAAAACATCCCCAAAACATGCACTTTGCTCTGTGGTCTGTGGAGATAAAACCTGTCTCTGCGTGGAGTATGAATGATTAATAGTTCAATTTTTGTGGATCAGGGGTCTCCGACGCCAGTCCTGAAATCTGTCCTGGAGTTTTCAGACTAACTGAGTGACCTCTTTAGCAAAGTTTAGCAAATGTCTGGTAGCATACCACTCAATACAGACCTTCAGAAACCAACAAAAGCATTTGAACGTTTATTTTCAGCCGAATGTGAGACTCCCTGGACGCAAAGTATGAAGGAAAAGGTGTTGGTTTGGGCTTTCAGAGTCTGATTGTGGTCCGTTTTCTTTCTTTGCACGGCGTCCACTTTTACAACCATGTTTTTTTGCTGTTGTTTTTTTTGTTTTTGTTTTGTTTTGTCCTTGACTACTGATTATGTCTCACAATTATTTACCTTACATTTTGTAATTCTCCACGTGTTCTCTCATATTTCATGGCCCTGCGACAAACAGCCTCTGAAGCCTCGGAGGTTTGTTGGAGAGAATTAGAGGGCAAACAATTTAATGAAGACTGAGGGACGCGGCAGACAGCTGTAGGGAAGTTTAAAGCAGGAAAACGCTTTAGAAAGCTCTGACGGTCCTGCAGAGCTCTGCTCAAGCCATCATCTCAAAGCAGAAACTGCAGACGGACCTGAGCATTTCTGTTCCCCTGAACTGACAGGCCAGGAGCAACTAAGAGCTACACATCTCTGGAGGAGCTGCAGAGATTCGCAGGTGGGAATACAAAAAATAAAAAATCTTTTTTCTTTTTTTTTTTTATGCCGCTACAGCAGATATACACATTTCTGAAAAATTGTGATTCTAGACACACAGCCAGAGCTGCAAGAAGAATGGCTTAGGTAAAAGCAATTTCTCTGTGGTAAAACATTGCAAATGTAGCGAAAAATGATTTCAAGGGGTTTAATACAAACAAACGCTGCATGTTTCCTTCTCCTTCAGTTGCGAACACATTAAATTAAAAACCATGCATCATAAAACATCAGTAAACCACACTGAAGTCGGTGGACGTGACGTGACACACGTGCATGAACACTGTTTGGACGCGCTGCTCTTCCTCTGATGACTCTCATCCACTCCCAGTGCTCAGCCATGTTTCATTAACATGAACTGATTTAGTGCCTGATTAATTATTTCCCTTCCAGTGTGTGTGTGTGCGCGCGCGCCCGGCAAGTCATTAGTTATTTACCAACTTCTCTTTTTCATTTTCCAAAAGAATGAATGGCCTCGAAGGAAGCCACTTTGAGAGGTTAAGATTAGATGGAAAAATTATTTACTAAGATATTTTTTTCCTTTTCTTTTTTTTTACCCTTGAAAATACTAATTTACAAAGAAGTGGTATCAACCCAAGTGGAAGGACATACTTATGTTTCTGTATTTCTTCTTTTCTTTCTAAGTTCAAGTGAGTCAGAAAACTCTCTCTGAGGTAAATGAGGTGAGTCTCAGATGAGAGTCAGTGAAGGTAACTAAAGTCTTGTTTTTAACCAAGTGACCCCCCACCCCCTTTTTTTATAGAAAAAGAAAAAAGAAACGCAGCACTGAATGTGGCACAAAAATGAGGCTGTTGGTAATTGGTCTCTTTCTAGTCATTTCATTTCATTATTGTGATTCAGTCCTTTAACTGCATGGACGCGTTCTGCGCGTCCATGGAACTAATTTCCTGTGACGCGTCACACCGAGGGGAACGTCGGTGCCCATTTCAAAGTCCATTTCCGCTGCGCTGCTCATGTCTGAGCCCCTCTGCTCTGTTCCACTCTGTTGCTGTTTCTATCAGATCAAACTTTGACTAAAGCAAAACTGTGTGACTGTCATCGCTCTTTAAGACACTTGGACAAATAAATAAATGGATAAGAATAGTCCGAACTTGCTGTGTTTTATTGGCACACATGAGGTTTTGCTGCCCATAGTTACAATAATCATTTTAGCTTTTTTTTTTTTTTTTTTTTTTTTTTTGTGGGGGAGAAAACTGATGCGCGCGGCTCCATCAGCTTCCTAGAAATGCACTTATAGTCAAAACATGGAAATGGAAAGCGACTGATACCAAAAGCACAACACACAGATTGTGGCGCACGCTTTTACGCACTACCCGTGGACGACTTTTTTTTTTTTTTGACGCATAGCAACGTAGCAAATTAATTTCTTTATAATTTAACGTAAAAAAAAACACATTCATGTAGCTCTGAACGAGCCAGAACAATCTTATCATAAAGGTGAGCGGCAAGAAGCGTGCTGACGGGTTCCAATTTGCGCATCCGGAGCGCCTTGGTTACAGTTTGCGGAACGCGTTAAGCGCGTCATTGATTCGCTCCCTGAGCCTTTAAAACCTCTATGTCCTGCGGACCAGACCCCGCAGTTTGTCCCGAAACTCCTTCCTCATCAGGCAGTAAATGATCGGGTTCAGGCAGCTGTTGGTGTGCGCCAGGCACACGGTGAGCGGGAACACGTACGTGTGGACGATGTAATACGCGCTGTCCCAGTTGGCGACGTTCAGTTTGACCAGGACGCTCCACAGGGTGATGGCGTGGTTCGGCATCCAGCAGAAGAAGAACGACAGCATGACGATGCTGATGGACTTGGTCACCTGGGATCTCCGCTTGGAGCTGCTGGTCTTCATGCTGCGCTTGCGGATGATGCGCAGCAGCATGAAGTAGCTGACCGACACGATGGACATGGGCAGAACGAAGCCCACGACTATTTTCTGGATGTGGTAAACCGCCAGCCAGTACTGGCCGCCCGGGAACCTCAGCAGGCACAGCTTCTCCCCCGTCACGTTGGTGACCGTGGAGAAGATCGACGTGGGCGCGGTGGCCACGGTCGCCAGAGTCCAGATGACCGCGCACACCCACTTGGCGGAGCACGACCTCTGCACGGTGCGGTTCTTCAAGGCCGAGGCCAGCGACCAGTAGCGGGTCACGCTCATGGCGGTGAGGAAGAAGACGCTGGCGTACATGTTCATGACGGTGACCGACAGGATGATCTTGCACATGGCGTCTCCGAACGGCCAGCTGAAGTCCATGACGGTGTCCACGGCCCAGAAGGGCAGCGTGAGGACGAACTGCAGGTCCGTCACCGCCAAGTTGAGCACAAAGAAGTTGACCCTGGACTTGCGGCGCTCCTGCGTGACCCTGATGAAGAAGAGGACCAGCAGGTTGCCGACCAGCCCCGCGGCGCACACCACGGAGTAGACGAGGCAGATGACGAATCTGAGGACCGGACTCCCGTCGGCCGTCACGTCGATGTCCTCCAGGTTGCTGAAGAGGTCCGGCAACAGGGACCTGTTCAGAAAGTCGCTCTCGTTGACCTCACTCATGCTGCTGGCATCTGGGGAGTTTAATTCAAACGCCTGGACGTTTATCCCCAAACAGAGGCGCAGCTTGGAGTGCTGCCATCCCAACTTCTCATCTCCTCTTGAAGACGCACAGTCGTCTCATATGACAGCCTGCGGCTCCTGGCGACAGGACAGTTCCACCCACCGTCTCTCTCTGTCTCTCCCCCTCTCTCTCTCTCTCTCTCTCTCTCTCTCTCTCTCTCTCTCTCTCTCTCTCCCCCCCCCCTCTCTCTCTCTCTCTCTCTCTGTCTCTGTGTTTTAGACCATGGGTGGAGTTACATGCTCATTGGTGAGCAGGATGCATCCATCAGTCTTGCGCGCAAACGAACCCAAATCATTTTCGCCATAAGCATAAAAAAACAAAACAAAACAAAAAAAAAAAAAACAAATTGTTTCGTTCAAATCTAACGGATAAATGATGCTGACATGACTCTGTTAGATAAGTCGCACCTGAAGCCGCCAAGACGCAAAACTGGAACTGAGCGAGTCCCCTTCAAAATAAGCTGAAAGTTCATCAACGACTCACTGCTGCCACCCAGCGGCCAAGCGACAGCGAAGGGTCATCTGCGTTCATCTGTGTAAAAATGCCAGACTCGAGTCCAACTCCAGTTTTCAGTGCTCTACACTCAAAATACAAAATTCACCATCATATGACATCTGGGGGATAGAGGGGGCTGGAAGGAAGAAAGGTGGTGAAAAAGAGGACAAAAAGGAAAGGAAAGAAGGAAAAAGAACGAGAAAGGACACACGGAAGGAAGGACATTGGAGAGAGGAAATGATAAAGTGAGAAACAAGAAGAAAAACAGAAAGGAAGTACGGACAGAGATGATGAACAAAAGGGAGGAAGATGTAAGGATGGACATAAAGAAGGAAGGAAAGAAAGGAAGAAAGGAATGAAGGGCAGACACAATGAAGGAAAACGCTGGTGGAAAACCTCAGCAAGTGTTTGATAAGATTGAAATAAGACAAAATCAGCTGAGCAGCAAGAGGTAAATCAGCTTTTTTTTTCTCTTTCGAAATGAAAACAAAAACAAAAAACCAGGCAAACTCCAGAAATAAATTGAAACACACAGATGTAGCAGAATGCATTTTATTACATCTACTTTTCTACATAAACAAGTAACATTCAATAAGTAAACAATTTCTTCCAATGCAGGTAATAAATATTTTTTTTTTCACTTGGTATATTTGTACAAACTGACGTGGGTCTACTGTACACCGTCTTCCTCCTTCCGTCCATGAAAAGCCTTTTTTTTTCTTTCTTTTTAAATCTATTTATTTTATTTATGTTTTTTTTTGTCAAAACAAGTTTTTCTTTCTCTCAGATTGGAGCTGTGAAACCTGTTAATAAGGCAGTGAGTGCAGATGTCGACTCGAGTCCGTCGAAGGAGATCATTTCTGCTGTGTGAGACTCTTTATTGGCCACAGTCGTCTTTTTTTTTGTTTGTTTTTTTGTTTTACAACTTTCGTTTTCTAAAAAATATATAAATTATTTTTATTCCTTTCGCTCTGAAGTGACGCGCACGCACGCACGCTCCCGCACACACGCACACACACACACACACACACACAAAAAAAAAAAAAAAAAACAGACGCATACGAGCGGACATCGAACGGCTCACGTTTGGATCTGAACGTTCGGTTTTCAGGGTTTTCCCATACTGACAGAATATAAACACTTTTTCCCTTTAAGTTAAGGTGAGGATGACCGAAGAGAGGAGCTGCTTTCCCAGAGTCCACTGTTGAAGAGCCACAAATAATAATAATAACAGTGGAGAGAAACCAGGAGGAGATCCAACTTCATCATTTTTGGTAATCCCACACAGAAGCTTGTGATGTTTGAGCAGAAACACATTCAACACAGCTTGCTCTGGCGCCCCCTGGCCGTCATGAAGTCAGCAGCATGACGGGAGTGAGGACAGAAGCTTCAATAAGTTAAGCCGCAATCAAAAGCTTTCAGTTACAGTGACTGTCTCGTCAAGTATCCCAACACGGGAGGGCGGGGCGGAGGGGTTTGGGGGTGGAGCAGCAGGAATCTGGTAACGCTTTATATTAAAGGCACATTCTGTCCATGCGTCTGAATGATAAGGATTAAAGATTTACAGACTCCCTGATGGCCTGGAGGGAAACTCTCTGCACCTCCGTCCAGAAGCCCTGCAGGACTCTGCAAACAAAGCTGCTTTTCAAATGTTTTATTTAGGAAGGACGTCCTGTTTCAGTTTCATAATCAGCATACATTTAAAATTCTCAAATGGAGATTTTTTTTAAAAATTTTGTGCTACTTTACAAAGGATGTTTGAGGAGGAGGACAGCTTGGCTGCCTCTCAGCGTTCAGCACAACAGGGCGCCGTCCAACTCGGATCCAAACGGCTGGAGTGAAAAGCTTTTCAGGCCCTCGCGATGTATTTTTCAGTGTCGTCGACGCGCGAACAGACAAGCCCTGAACCGGCGCCAGATGGTAACACGAGGTAAACGGGCTGAGTTGGTGTGAATATGAACAAGGCAGATCTAAAAATGAGACGGTTGTTTACCGTCGAGCCTCACGCTATGACAACCTGGAATATAATCCCACAGTGTTCACTATGCTATTAACAAATGATTAAAACTATATAAAAATAATCTAATTGCTTTAAAACAATGCTAAAAAGCAAAAACAAAAAAATGAAACAAAACAAAAAAATGATTACAACATGCTTTAGTTGCCACTTTGATTTTGAACACATCACTGTTTAAAGCTTAACTTAAGACATTTTAGTCTGAACTGCTAATTTGGAACATGATAAAAAAATTCTCAGCTTTTTTATACCTTAAGTCACATGTTAGGATAAATGTTTTTCAATATAATTTCCCAATAAAAATAATTATCTGTATGAATTAAAAATCAAATTGTACACTTAATAATTTACTCACTTTTAAAAACTGTTTTGAGCGCACCCTCTAGCAATGCTTATCTTTAAATTAATGAAGGGTCAAAACAAAAAGCTCAGTGCTGCATTTATTTGTGGCGACGCTTTGTCTTTTTTCTTTTCTTTCTTTTTCTGAGGTGTTTTTTTTTTTTCATGTTTACTTTTTAATAAGTGACCAGAACAGTGAGCGCTCTCTTGGTTTGGTTTTGGGGTAAAACGTCGCAATTTAAGACCAGTTTGGATAAACGACCAACTCTTTTTACGCTTCACTCACTGGGAGCAGAGGAGGGTGGCAACTAGCGACGTTTATTTTAAGCATCAGTTTTCTAAGGTTTCTGTTGAAACAGATTGATTTGGAAAAGCTAAATCTTTCTTCTGCATATAACAATTTGACTTGTTTGCATATTTTTTGTTGCCATCATCTCTAAATATCACATCAGGTGTTGCAATCAAACAATTACTAAATACATGAGTAGCATTTCGAAGGAACGCTTTTTTTTATTCTCACCTTACTCATTTTTTGTATGGAAAGGTTTTACTTTTACTTGAGTGAAAAAATAAAACAAATGCCAACATTTGCTTCTTTTGGTTGAGTAAAACATCGTGTTGCTCTACACACATCTGACTGTGACCGACTCAAAGAAAACGACTTTGTGCAGCTTCAAAACTCCCATCAGTCACCTGCAGATAATCTTGGACTTCTAGAAAAACCTCGACAGGTCATCTGTAATGCCTCAGTGCTCCACCAGGGGGTGGAAGACAAAAAATGGGGGTGAAATGTTGCAGGTTTTTGAAGGAAAATAAAACATCAGGGTATATAATGGTCCATGTAGCCTTGTGAGGCAAGCCAAAACATAGAATAAATTTTATGATACTTTCAGGGTTTATGCAAAGTGTGCTCCTATACAGTTGTCTGTATCGGAGCAACTTGGTTGATAGGTGGCGCTAGTTCCCACACCTGCTCCAAACAGACAGGCACTTCCTCTCTGCACTTTCAAATTAAGAGGACATGAAACATAGTGGAAACCAGCCCACGCCTCCTAGCTTGTGTAACGTGTATCATCTTTATTCTTTATGCTATTATCTCGGAAAACGACCTAATATTTGGATTTGTCTGCTGGGTTTCTGGTTGCGTAGCCTATTTTTGTATTTATTTATTTTTTCTGCACTCCTTTCTACACCGCTGCATTCCGGAACACACGACACAATTAATTCAAAAGAAACAATTAATCATGCATGAATTAATTAAGCATTCGTTTTGTGCCCATAAAAGGATTACCAGAGTCTGCTACCAGAGTAAATGCACAGTGGCATTTATTTCCCTAGAGAATCATCACAACACCTTACTGAGTAGTCGAGCTGCTGCTAAATAATTATTCAATGCATATTAAATAAAATCTTTTCACAATCAGCTCCCGCATGACAGTGACTCACACTCGCTTTCAGCCACTGAGCAATTTTTTTAAAAAATGTAAAAAAAAATTCAATATATAGACACGAAGGATACAAAATAAATAAAATACTGTACAACAGAGGAAACGCACTAACAGAACTTGCTCCACCAGCTGATGGAGTCCCACGGAGAGGCAGGAGTTGGTTCCCATGAGAGGAGCGAGGAATGAAGTTAGAAATGCCAAGAGGAGAGCAGAGGGGGAGGGAGGAGGTCACCCCGTGTCAGATCCCCGTCCGGTTATCGAGGAATGGGACGGGAGGTGACGGGAGCCGCTGTCAGAGCCCATTATCTCGTGATCGCTGGGATAATTAGACGCTGCCTGTCTCCGGCGCCTGGAAGGGGGACGTCAGAGAGACGCTCATAGAGCCAGACGCTGGGAACATTTAAAGGATGTCGGGGAAACGCGGCTTGGACAACGACAAACGAAAGCGTGCGTTGTCTTAAAAATGTACATTCACGAGCAAACCATGCGTGAAACACAGCGAACGCGCTTTGCTCCGACACTCAAGGCTTTCTCCTGGCAGGCCATGCATTTTTAAACCGTCTAATTCGGAGCGGGGCCCGCGTTGACCTGCCGAGGCCGCCTTCGTTCACTTCTCAAGACGTCAGCCGCAAGCGCTCCGTCCTGACTCAGCTTTCCACCCCCGGATGGGTGCGGGCAACCAGTCGCAGGTTCAAAACCGTCAGACGCAGAAAGTGACGATTTTAAGACATTACTGCAAGGTTCCTCAAACATGAGCACAGAATAAACAGGCACTGCTTTAAGCTGGGTCGCATGCTGCGGACGACTGTGTCTTTAAAAGGCCCGGCGTTGCTACGACGGCTTCGTCGGAAAGTCCTTTTATGACAGTCGGCCGCGAGACGCAAAGCAACACACTGAACCCGGAGAAACGCACTGAAAACACTGACACACACACACATTCAACAGCACTCGGATCACTTTCATATTAGTACCTACTTTTTGGCATTGTGCAAAAAAAAAAGAAAAGAAAAAATATCTTCCAGCTAAAAGTCAAAATTGGCAAGTATAAATAGCTTCAACAGTTTAAATGCTGTACGCCGGCAGATTCTTTACAAGGAGTGAAAATAACCAACACAGAATCAACCTGAAGGTCGAGGGGAATGCATATTTCACTGTTTAAATATCATACATAAGTTAAAAAGAATATTAAAACTACTACGACATGATTCAACTGTTAACTCAGTCTCATTATAGAGAAAAACAAAATACACGATGAATCTGGACATGAGGTCGAAGAGGGAGGAAAGCAAAAGGAACGTGGTTGCTGCCGGAGATGCGGATGGAAAGTTAAGCAAACATGGCAGCAGGTGTTGAAGGGAGAGGAGGTCCAGTCCTCCCTCCGCCTGGAAACGGCGACAGAAGCAGCTCACTACACTGAAAACGATCCCGACGTAGAAAAGTAAAAGAGGAAAATAGATTTTGTTCTCTGGTCACGGTGCTGCTCCTTGTTTTTGTAGAAAGGGGGAAAAAGAAAACTGTAAGGAACCCTCCAACCTCGTGTTTTTTTTTCACTCGGGCAGCATCTCCGCTGTTTGTGCCAAGTTTGTACCAGTAAAGATCAGATGTGGTCCAAACGTCGGACTGGTTCCTCATCTGAGGTCAGTAACACCAAATCCACATCCCTCCATCTCCCCCTCCCTTTAAGTGATGTCACCTACTCAGATATTTAGTGCTTTTCTCCACATTATGGCTCCGAAAAGGCTGACAGAGTTCGATGACATGGGGCCGGTCTAATCTCTGGAGCAAAACAAAACAAAAAAATAAAATAAAATCCACAAAAAAAAAAACAAGAAACGTTTACCCTGCGGTCAGCACCGGGTCCGGCGTGGTACTGCACTCACGCTGGGCCCAGAGCGTCGCCCCCCGCCTCGGGTCAGTCCAGTGATATGACGTCAGGTATCCCGCCGTAGATAGCTGCCACTGCCGCCTCGGCGCTGCTTCGACTGGCCACCACCCCGGGGTGTGTGTGTGAGGGGTGTGAGGACGAGTGCGAAGACGACGAGTGTGTGGAGTGAGTGTCTCGAAGGCTACTGGACGAGACCAAGCCGCCGCCGCCCGTGCTGCTCACCCCGTTGGTCGGCGCCGTCAGCGAGGGGGTACCTGATTGGTCGAGGAACAGCTGGGAGGCCGACGAGGAGGTGCTGTAGGGCAGGAACCGGTTGAGGAGGAGCTCGTGGTCCTCTGAGGCCGAGGCAGCCGCCGCCATGACCATGTTGTAATGCTGCAGGGCGGCAACGAGGAAGAGCTGTTAGTGGGACAGCATTTTATATAAACATATGTGTGTGTGTGTGTATAGATGTGTGTGTGTGTGTGTGTTCTTTTATGAGCAAAATCGTCAGCTCAAAACCACTCACAGGACAAAAAAATATCATTCTTTAAAAACTAAAATGACCAAAAAGAAGCTAAGCATAAACTGTTTTAGCTAAATGAAGTAATCCGACTCTTTTGGAAGAACTGCATCGTGGATCCAGAGCTTTACGGGGTTTTCCTTGTTAAACGAAAGGCATCCTGTTCTCGCTTATTGCTACTTTGATCTCGAAAGAAAAAAAGTAAAATGAAAATTTTGTCTATTCTCGGTCAGTCTTCATTTGAAAACGCTTCCTGTATTCATCCAAGTTTTACTGCAACAACTAAAAGCACATTTGGATGCAACAAGCTGTACTTTAGACTAGATGTGTTCGTAGTCAGCATGACAACGTAGGGAAAGCAAAAAACACTTTGTGTCGCATTTAAAAAAATAAAAAATTATCGATTTCGATTTAAAGTCATAGTTTTAATGTAATTTATACCTGAACTGTGGCAAATGTCCAGTGCGCCCCACTCTGAACACCCTCAACGTATAAGAAAAACTAAGAAAGGAAACAGTTGGCAATATTTTGGCGATAAACATGTTAGACAAAACATTTCCAACACCGTGAGTCATATTTAAAATCCCTTCGGCTTCGTTGTTCCAGGCTGGCAGCAGAAATCTGACACCGACACGGCGGAGCGAAAGCAGCAGGATATCACACGACTTTCAGCTAAGTGCCCCGACGTTTCTGCTGCACCAGACGACTTTCATTTATCAAATGTTTTGCTCCTGTACAGATTGAGACTAAGAGCCAGTAGTAAAAGCAGTAAAAAAAAAAAAAAAAAAAGTGGGAACAAGGAGTACAGGAAGGATTTTATGTGACGTTCTCCTCCATCATCAGGTTTCAAGATGTGTCAAATTAAAATTTTAGGTGGGTTACTCAGAATTAGGATATGTCTATTTAAATAATTTCTTTTTATGACAGGGAACATCTCGTCACCGAGAACCCACCAGTAGCTGGCTGCATACGGTCCAAGTAGAGACGGTGCGTTCATGACACTATTGGGGGTTATTCCTGTGCTACGTGACACACAGGAACACCCCCGTATTCCTGTGTACAGTTGAACGTACCTGATGATTGTCTCCTGGAAGGAAAGAGAAGAAGTTCAACTCTGGAAAAAAAAAGCACAAAGGAAAGTCGGTGTTAATTACATCTAGAAATTGGGGGATGGCACACGCCAGCGTGAACCTGCAAGCAAAAACAGCGCAAAAAATGAAGACCTGACGTGGACAGGTCTCACATGAGGTTTGCCCACCCACGAAAACCTTTTTGCAGCTCATTCTTAACAAGTCATCAGTCCAAAGCGTTCTTCTTCTTTGGTATCTAACAACTATTGTTTAATTGGTCCAAAATGTCCAGATAAGACTCGTCTGTGTTGTTCATATCTATGCTTTTCCAGATCCAACGTTCCAGAAAACTAAGTAAGGGCACAAGACAGTAAGAAGAAACTGAAAACAAGGGTGGAAAGGAGGAAAAAAAAGGACAGAACTAAAAAGAAGGACAGAAACAAGGGAAGACATGACAGAGGAGGGACAGAAAGAAAGATGGAAGGTCAGAAGAGATAAAAATAAAGAGGTCATGGCCAATGGAGATACGGAGGAAACAACAAGAAACAGATAAAGCAGAAAAGACAGAAAGGAGGATGGAAGAAGATAAGTACAGCAGAAAAAAACAAACAAGCAAAACAAAGAGAGGAAGGACAGGCAGGACAGGAAGGGCACAGAGAGGGGCCCATATAAGGAAGGAAGAAAGAAGAAGACAGGAAAGAGAGAAAAATGGACAGAAAGGGAACAAGAGGAAGGAAGTCCAGAGAAAAGAAAAGAGACAGCATGACATTGGGACGGGGAAAAAAGTTTGGAATAAACAGATATTTTCATTGTCTATCCAGATCTGGAAAACGTTTCTGGATTCCTGGTTGTTACCTGACAGGTCGTTGGGGGTGTGGTAGTAGGGCCTGTAGTCCTGGATGAGCGGGGGCAACGGAGGGATGTAGTTGGTGTCCATGGCTGGCATGCTGGGGGTGCGGCTGACGGGAGAGGCCTGGTGGTGCAGGTTCAACACCCTGCAGAGCGCGTGCACACGGAAAACGCAAAGAGGTCAGAGAACCGCTGCGCCCACCGTCACGCTTTGAGCAGAATGCTGAGACCAACGCAAGATTCATCAAGGAAAATTGAAGCAGTAAAGTCTCCATGAAAGTTAATCTGGCAGAAAATGCAGCGATGAAAGAAAACTGTATCCATGCTACTTTGCTTAATTAAAAGTCAACCAAATTTTCCTTATCCTGGGTTTTTATTGTTTACGGTTGTTGAGGTCACCACAAAAACTGATCTTGAAAAACATTCCCTTTAAGTATTAAGATTCTTTAGGATACAAGTCATTTGAAGAACTGTGATTTGTATCGCATCAGGTCACATTTTCAAATTTATTGACACTAACAATCCCAACAGTACGGACCGTTTGGAGGGTTTTAAACATCATCAATTGGAATTTATCATGACAAAAATAAGTCTAAATTTCTACCGTGATAAGAAATTTAGCGTGATAAGTGGTAAAACGAAGTAATAAACGTCCATCCCTGCTCCTGTGGTCGACTCACCCTTTGTTTATGACAGGCGGCGAGGTCGGAGACAGAGACGGACACGCTCTTTTGACCGGAGGAGGAAGTGCTGCAGAGGAAGGCGGAGGAGGAGGCGGCGGCGGCGGGGAATCTGGTTCTTCTTCGTCCGAGGAGCTGTCGAGTGTCAGGTCGATCACTTCCACCTTTTTGCTGTGGCTGCTGTCGCTGTGGCTGGAGGATGAGGAGCTGTGCTGATCCGAGCCTTCGGACGTCCGACAGGAGCCTGAGGGGAAGCACAGACGTCTCAGTTTGGGTCGGGATTCACAGAGAAAGGAGCCAGAAAAACCCAGAAGGTTCTCCAAAGCTCAGAAAACTCATCTGATCTGCTGAACATGAATCATAGAGTGTTTGTTGGCATTGAGGCAGTTTATTCAGAGGTAATATTTCTGACGATTTGGCAAATTAAAACGGACAATGCAAACCAAGTGGCAGAGGACATACATGAATCGGTTTGGTTTTATTTTTTAGCCGAATTGGCTTCCCAACCCACAAAACTCACCATCCATCCCGTTGTTAAGGGAAGCTGAGGAGACCTCCTGCACTTCCTTCTTAGACCTCATGGGGGCCCAGCTGCCATCCTCCTTAAACTGGATCTCGTCACAGTCTGAGCAGCTGTTCAAGATCTCGACAAAAAGTCTGGGAGAAGACACAGGGCAGGCAAGGATTAGCTCAAAATAATTCATTTCAAATGAAAATCTGGAATCAATCAGATGATCTTAGCGGTAGTTAGTGTTTTTTTTAAAAGCGTCTTCCAGATCGACGCAGCACATTCTCTTTCAAAGTTCGCTCACAACGTATAAATCGAAAAAAACGACCGCAGATCCAAAATGTCTAAAAGTCTTGGCTTTCAAGTGGAACAAAAATGCAGCAAAGAAAAATGCAGCAAATGGGAACAAGTTGTCTCTTTGTGACAGGCTGCGATGAACAAGTGCCTGAAGATCCCATTTAACATTTAGTCATTTTGTAAGAATCAGTCTGTCACTGAGAGACAGTTCGTCTCACTTTCTGTGACTAATATCAAATATGACAGCTTGACAGACAGAACAGTTTAGCAGCAGCAACTAATTTGTGGAAAACAACTTTCCTTAATAATAGATCCAACTTAAAATAGGTTTTGTGGAAAAGCGTAACGATGCAATTAGCTCACATGAAGAGACGTTTACATGATATCGTTGTTGTACGAACAAGACGAGATTAGATCTTATCAAAATGAAGACTTCTGGACAGAATGTGGTTTTGAAGGCTTTCTCAAGTAAAGCGGTCCGAATGCCAAAGAAAATGAGAAATAATAATAAAAAAGAAATGCTCTTTTTAGTGTTTTAAGATACAATAAAAGTTTGGAATTAACAATTGAAAAAAAGATAAATGACTGAAGTTCACAATGAATTTGTGGCAGTGATGAGGCCTTGAAAATGGAACCAAGGAAAACCAGAAGTGAAATATCAAAGGAAGAAAGAGAGAAAGGAAGAAAAAGAAAACAAAAATAAAAGAAATACGAGTAGAAACAAACAAAAACAAAAGAAGCAAAGACGGAAAAGAAAGAGAGCTGTGGAAAAATCTCACTTTTAGACAACATGATATAAAATCTAGTATTTTCTATATTCTAACTTTCCTTTTCTAAAGTGCAGAGCGACCATAAACATGTTAAGATCAAACTTGGTCTTCATCAGGGTCACTGTCTGTTCTCTACTCTCATACTCCTCTTCTGCACTAACTTCAACCCTGCAGCATCTGTGTCTCTGCCTTTCCCTTGTTTTTGTGACTTTTAAAATGTTTCATTTTTTTAAAGGCTTTCCTTTATAAAATGCATCCTTTTTTCTTGATGGACTTTGACTTTGCTGATTGGTGGAAAGTTGTTTATTGAGCTCAGCTACAACAGACACAGAGGTTCACCCAGAAGTAAAATGTAAAATAAAGGCCTTTTGGCCATTTTCCAAAATCAGCTTATCCAGTGAGTACTAAAGCATTTTATTACCACCTACTTTTTCTTTCTTGTTTTCTGCACTGAATCTTTTTTTACTAAAAGCTTCATGCATAAAGATTTTTCTTTAAGTACTGCACGAAGATAGGAGAAAAGCAGTCAAAGGCCGAGTTAAAACACTTTTTTAAACAAATTCGGAAAGCTTTATGCCATATTCATTAGAAGATTTCAGGAAGCAAAGTCTGGACAAATAAAAGAATATTTCAGAGAGTTAATCATCACATCTCCTTCATAAAACTCAGAGGCTGCTTGTGTCTTTGTCTGACTTACCCATCGATGATAAGATGCTCATACGGGGCCTTCTTGTCGCAGACAGGACAGACCCAGGTGGGCTTCTTCTCATTCATCTGGATGTAAAGCGTGGCGTCGAAGCACTGCAGATGGGAGCACGTCAGCGCCCTGCACGGGATCATCAACCGCATCTTCCCCAGCTGCACCGCCAGCGCACCGACGGGCGGCGAACCCGCAGAGGAAACACGGATTAGGGGTGAATTACACTCTCGAGCGCCAAAAACATGCCAAGACCACATGACAACGCAGGACGTTGCTTAAGAAGAGTTACGCAGACAGCGGCGTGTTGAGCAATACGTGACTAGATAATTATACATTTATATATGTTCTTAACACAAGATTGAGCGAATGAGGAGCAGGAAAGGTGGTTACCGGGCAGAGCAGGGACACACGCAGGCTGGTCGTGGCGATTTCACTGTCAGGGTCCGCCGTGAGCTTCTCTTTTACTGGAGGGGAGAGGAAAAGGACAACAGCGCCGTATGAGTCAGTGAGAAACAGATGGAAGGAGCTCTTCTTCCAGATGTGCTCGCTCAGTCACTGTCAGACACCAGGCCGGCGCTGTGAATGAATGCAGGAGCTCTTCACGCTGCACCGCAACCTTCAGGTACATTTCGAAACTCTTAGTTACCGTCTGGCTGGAACAAAAACTACAAACGTACTTTGAACTGAGGATGTTTTCCATTAGTTTAACGTACATAGCCGTAAGTCAGTCCGGTGAAAGACGCTCGAGTCATTTTATTTACGCCACCAATTGTTCTCCGAACCTACGTCAACCTTGCCTGCAGACTCTTTCTCAATGAATAAACGTATAAAGTTGGAGACTGTTTAACAGTTATAGCTACATAACTTAAGAGCTAAGAATTAAACGCAATGTAAAAAATGTGCAATTCAAGCCAATATCCAAAACTTGATTAGAAATTGATATATTTATATATTTGATATATTACAATGGCCTGTAGCTGTTAAAATCCCTGGGGGTTTGGACGTAGAAAGATTTCATAAATGATTTGAAAGTTTTTAAGATGCAAAAGAGAACAAATCTGAATGAAACTATGATAGAACAGAAAAACTACAAAAATCTGATAATATTCTGGTTGTAGTCTCACATGGCATGCTGGAGAAGCTTTCTCTCTCATATGGTTTTGTGGTTTCTTTATATGTGTTTTGAGTCATTTGTTACATTATTTTTAGTTTTATTTAGCTGACATTTTTGCTCTAAGTAGATTCTTGCACTGACAGGCATTAGTTTGTAAGTGTTTTTTCAAAAAAATCGAATCGTTGTGTAAGTGTCTCCACCCCTAAATTAACACTTTTTTGACCTTTTTATTTAGTCTCCACATTAGGCATTGTGTCCTTCAGTCTCTTTTTTTGTGCCTGACCTATTTGGCGCTGGGATTCTTAATGATGGAACCCAGATTTCCTGAGACGGAGGAAAGGCCAGGTTGTACGAGAAAAGAAAGCTGCAGGGTTTGCATGCTTATTTATGTCTGCAAATTAAAGCCTCACGACGAGATCTGATGGGCGGCAGACGCTGAACTTTTCGTAGCCTGGAGGTAAGGATGCAGCGGAAGTGATGTCGTCTTTGGGGTAAAGAGCGAGCGCCAATAAATCTTTTGTGTTTCATAGACTCCGCTTCTTTCTTCAGATGTCAATGCTGGTCACTGATACAGAAAGAGCATTGCAATGCGAGGCAACTGTTACACCTGGTCTGTTTATATCTTAAACAAAAACTGTAATCTGTTGAAGTTCTGTGTTTTCATCACCAGTTTATTTTTTATCTACGTCCTTTTTAGTCTTTTGAAACACAAATCCTAACTTTACTGGTTCTGCTCGGGGTGAGCTTCCAAGCGGATTTAAGGTTCTGCCTCCTGGTCATCATGACTGCAATGCGTGGCAAAACTGGTGAGGAGAGGAGGACGGGGGGAGAAGCTGTCCGCCATGATGACCAGGAAAATGCATTAAATCTTAAAATCCAAAACCTGACGTTGTCACAAGTGCCGGTACGATTTCACATTGCTTTCAGAAAAGTATTGGATCAGAAACAGATCTGTAAACTGTCAGAGGAAATGTTCGATTAAAATCGTCCCATACAGATAATCACACAGCAGCTTGTGTCAGTAAATTTCTGTTTAAATCTCCCTCAATGCACAGACCGTACCACTGAAAGTGGTCGGTGAAGAAAACTCCCAGTTCCCATTTAGTCTTCTGAGTACTTTTGATTCAACGTGGAGATTAGATCATTAGCAACTTTTTTATTTTTTCTTTCCCAGAGCCGAGGACAGATTTGAATCAGAACAGTTTTGGCCCTGAAGCATCGCAGCTTATCGGATCAGTTCATGTGTGAAGAGAGAGGCTGGCGGTTCTTACTGAGCGCTCTGGAGTGGTCTGGGTTTCTGATGCCTTTTGCCCGCAGTCTTTGTAGCAGCACTGTGGAGGACTGCTGCTTCACCAAGTAGACTGCCATGGAGTAACTCTGCACACACAAATTAAGACACAACATCAGTCACAGCCAGCAAGAGTCAAAAAGAGCTGATTTATGACTCATTAGTGTCGCAAAAGTTGCCTTCACTGGGCTGAGGACGTATCGTCAGGATTCGTTTGACTTAATCCTGTTGAAAATCAACATGCGATTTTTACATGTTAAGAACTACATGTTGACTTTTAACGTGTAATGTTAAAATTAAAATTCAGCAGAACTTTAAGCTTCTAAACACAGCCAAAATTTGTTTCACTGGTTTGTCTAGTAATCAAACTGCGAAAGGCCTAAATGAATGATCTGAGTTTTTGTTGGCCAAGTAACTTGAAAGGTGTGAATGTGATTTTAACGGCGGTGTGAAAACTTTACGGCCCTGCTTATGGAAAGGATCGTTACGTCTGAAAACTAACAAACGATGACAAGCAAAGGGGAATAATTCAGGTTAACACAAAAAGAAAAAAAAATGTTCAAAATAAACGACATATGAACAGTTTCAGTGAGAATTATATGTTGAGAAATTAAAAAATATTTTAAACGTTCGGAGAAAGAAAAGGGGATAAAAATGTGATGCCAGAGGATTTTTAGTTACATTTGCCAAAAATGTGACACAGAAAAATGTTAAAAATGTAGTGGTGTATCAAACATCACTAAATGTTTGATCTAAGCATTTATTGGTGCTTGTGTATCAGTAAAAGTTGATATATAAGCATAAATTTTTATTCTCCCTTCAATAACTATTAAATGTGCTTAGCATAAATGCTGCCTCATACTTTCTGGCTTTTGCTGGCTATGCTAGCTTGAGAAGGAGCCTGATGCATTTGACTGACAGAAAGACTGGCATGGCCAATTTTAGTTAATTATTTTACCGGGTATTTTATAATAATGATTAAAAAACAGATTGGATTTTCTCAGACCCCCCCACTGTCCTGAGAGGAGAAAGAGCAGATGGGTTTAGCTCCTACCCTTCCGATCTCTGCGGTCCACGATACCACGATGGTGTTCGGGACTGTGGTGGACAATCTGACAAGTGAGGTAATGTTGATCGGCCGGCTCGGCCGCTTGGGCTCGACGCCATTTTTGGTTGGAGGGAGATAACCCTGAAAATCAGAAAGAAACGTGAGACTCGCAGTGAATCTCGTTAAACGCTAGACGAAGACGCCGAGTCGACCAGGACTCCTCACCGGCAGGTTGCATGGCTTCCCGTTGACTTTGACACAAAGATTGGGAGGGAAATGGTCTTCCTGAGGACAGCTTGTCTCCGACAGGCAGAACCGCAGCTGAACCTGAACTGAGAAGTCACATTTGGTCCCCGAGATGTCCCTGTGAGGAGAGGCGACGATTACCATCAGCACAACCTTACATTCAACGGCGGTGCAATAATCAGCGTTGTACTGACATAGAGCTGCTGATCTGCTGGACCTGCTGCGGCGTTAACGCGAAGGCGAAACACGTCTCCTGAAACCGCTGGCTGTTGTCTGACGCTGCGGAGAAACAAAGACAGAAGAACAGAGTCTTTACTATTAACAAAACTCAAGTTAATTTGAACTTTAAGAAACTAGGGAGATAATTTGATGTCAGGTCAAATTCACACATTTGATATGAAAGGTATGAAAGCTTAAGCAAAGTTTAATTTTGAAATAATATTCAATAAAAAAAAAAGGCACGTCACATATGCATGTCTTACAGACCACCCATTATTTTTTAAAACCATGTTTTCTTTCATCCTGATTTTACAATTGCTGATAAAACTCTGCTTGATTGATGACCTCAACCTGTGACTCTTTCTGCTCATGGAACCAAAACTGAGAGTAAATAGCAACAGTAAGCTGACAAATAAAAGGCAAGAAAGAGCGAAGATGTCTGCGCACAGCAGGGTGCCGAGATTTTCATTCTTGAAGAAAATCATTATGCGGTTGATCTCATCTGCAGTGGAAAGACCTGCTAACGAGCGGCTGGATGTCAGAAAGAGACCTCACACTGAGGTGGGGATAAAAACCTGCTCTATTTATAGGCCCACCCACAGGTGGTGGAAATAACCGGAGCTCCTGACCCCGGCCAGCAGGTTCGTAAAGTTAGAGAATAAGTTAGTGTTAGCGGGAGGTTAGAAAGAGACAAAGAGGTGTTCTGATTTAAATATATTTGCATAACTGAGCTACAATGGCTACATGTCACTTTTCTGAGCACTTCTTCAACTTCCAGTAGGAGCTTTGTCTGGATATAAAACTTCCTCAAAGGTAAAAGGTTTGGAATAATTGTCTCACAGAGGCTTCTCATGAGCTGCTTAGTCATCTGGGTCCGGCTTCCTTTTGCTTCTTTGAGACGCCTGATGATTGTCTTGTGGCTAAACCGGTGCATTATAAAGAAAGCGTGAACATCCTGACTCGGGCCGGGACGTTTTTGGTCTTTATGAGAGACGACTTAAGGAGAAAGGAGCTAAAAATGAGGCGTTTCGGAATAAAATGCAGTTCATAAATAACTACAGAGACACTACGGGTTCCCTCATATGACAGATTTTAGAAGATATGCCAAACTATTTTCAGCCAGAACAGAAACCAAAGAGAAAAGAAAAGAAGCAGCCTCACAGCTTGGGGCATTAGGAATATGCAGAATGCAAGCAAGCTGAGGCTGATTTGTCCAAAGGTGCAAAAAATAACAGTTATTACTCATCAACACGTTTGCACTCGTTTTAAATGATTGGATCCTAAACGGCATTATTAAAGCTGTGGTATGTCGTGTTTTTAAAGCAGTGTGTTTTTTTTATTGTTACTCAGAGAGGCCAGTAAACATAATGTGCAATTTTTAATGGGGAAACGGGGACCCAGAGAGATCTGGAAAGATGCTGGAAAGAGAGCAAGACTCTGGCTGGGATTTGAACCGATGACTTTCTTTCTGTGATTTCAAAAATGAGTCTCAACAGAGTGCAGCTGAATTTCACACTATTCTGCCTTTGTGTGTATTTCAACAAAAAACATCTTTTAGACGTACCGTTTTACAAACTGTGAGTTTCTTTTCTGGAGAAAAAAAACCTCGGAAACCCTGTAATATCTGCATTATTTTCAATATGTTGCATGAACTAAAAATGACTTTGATCAAGTACTTTTTTTTTTTTGCTACTACTATTTAACTTTTTTTTTAAAATAGATTTTACTAAACTAGACCTACTAAACCTTTCACAAAATTCTGGGAACCTGCACGGCCGCGTACACAAACACAAACTCTCAGCAGGATTATGTCCATGCTGGTAATTTATTTCCATGTAGGCGTTGAGGGGGCTGAGAGCTATAGTTCCTGTGGAGGATTGAACAGGCCAATCCTGCTCCTTCCACCATCAGCCGTTCAAAATGCGACTAATTTTCCCAGTAATGACCCATCTCTCCTCCCACTCCTTAGCATTCACGTGCAACGCGTTTAACTTGACATCCATGTCGCTGCGTCCTTTGAGCTGCAGCGTTGTGTGCTGCAGAACAAACGCAAAGCGTGAGTGTGCTTTCCAACAACAGTCTCTCTCCTCTCCTCTCCGGGCACACAGGTTATAAATAGAAAGTGCTCTCTCTCCCCTTCTCTCACTCTCCAATCACTCTGAAACTCACCCTCTTGTCTGTGGTAGTGGATTTTTTTTTTCTTTTTGCTAGTGTTTCAGTGTGCCTGGCCAGGAGATAGAAGATGGACTCCTTCATCTCCAGACAAAAACTTAGACAATGGTTTATTTAAGATGAAAACGAAATGTTTGATCAGTTTGATGATAAGGAAATAATAGATGCATTACAAACTGTGAACTGGAACCACAAAGCTGCTCTTTCTCCCCGTATTATTTGCGATGAAATAGGATCTGTCACATTTATCCCGTATTCTATGAAACTCAAAGTCCCCATGACGGTGCACGCTTCCTTAAAAGGAGAAATTATAAATGCTTCATTTGCCGTCAGAGAGCAGGATCATCTTTCTCAGGTAAATATGAACTAGTCTCAGCGTCCGGTTATCTTAGTTCTACATAAACACCAGAAAAAGGGAGGCTTTTTGAGTCCAAAAACAACAAAATCTGCCTCCCAGCTGCTCTGAAGCTCATTAATGAAGAATGCTGTTTACAGGAGAATGACAGGAATAACCACACAGGATGATGGAAAGTAGCGAGGGGACAGCAGAGTTTAAAATCCCCTCAGCCTTCGGACTGATAACTGGGCTGGAGAGACACTTTGATGTGGTAAGTGCATTTTTCTGTCGTGGCCGTTTTACTCAGCAGCAGAAACAAACTGCATCCAACATCAAGCTGCACAGAAAGCAGAGAGTTTATTTTACGTCCACCAGGATAACTTCGGTGCCTCACCGAAACCCGGGGCCCGTAAAAATATCTTTTTACGTGGCGCAGAAATAACTTTCCTTCCTCTGTTTTGTTTTTTCGTGCTTATGCAGGGCCGGAAAATATTTTGATCAAATTCCTAAAGCAAACCTGGACAGCCGATCAGCCGAGCTGGGATCAGGAAGCCAGCCTCTGAACTGAACCGTGGCATCAGGTGTTCAGCAGCAGACAAACATTAACATCAGACACCAGAGACAATTTCCACCCTGGCTCATTATTAATGACATGTTTCCTTTCCCTCGTTCAGATGTTGCTCCTGTAAATCAGCACCAGCTTTGGGATCTAGATTTTGTTTTTAATTCCTCGTTTGCTCTTGATTTTCAATAATGATTAGGACAAATGTAACAATAATACCTCTTAATCCACTGAACCTTCTCTTTGCCTATCACTTTGTTGTTACTAAATGAAAATAATTTCCTCAAGGTCTCTAATTTTCTTCAGTTATTGATCAATTGAACAACTAAGAATAAATGTGATTACTTGTTTTTGCGTAACGCCACTAACAATTAGCATATTAGTAAAGCAGCTCACATTATTCTGGGTACACTCCTGGGCTGACAATAGCACAACTTCAGATTATCTCGGCATATGTGATCACTCAGGACGGAGCATCAGACATTTATTCTGTTATTTGTCTCTGAATTATTGTGTGGAACATCTACGGATAAAGAAACCTGATTCTCTGTGTTTTTTTTGTTGTTTTTTTTCTCCAAAAAAAAAAACTGCTCTGGTGTTAGGCCAGGGCTGGCTATTACCAGCTTCTGTAAAAACACACACACACAAAAAAACTTTTTCAGCAGAAAAACATCAGTTTTTCTTTTTGCATTTACCTGCAGACCATTTCATAAAATGTTGTTTTTATAACCGGTGTGTATCAAAAGCTCTCTCTAATCGTAGCTGGGACTTCTGATTATTTATGAGCAGTGATGCAAATGGAGTCACACACACCGTCTCACACAGCGTTCATTAACACCACCTGGTGATAAAACAACCCAGCAGTTTAAATGAATTGAGTTGCAAACATTGCGAATTGTTCTGAAAACAGAATGGACCTGCACGTAATGCGACAAATGATTATCATAAACAGGAGAAAAACAATAAATGAGTCCATGGCTCCGAGTTATTCTGGGAAGAATCTGGTTGTTTCGTTCTTGTTGTGCCTCAGTGTTTGCTTTTTATTTTTTTTCTCTTTTATCGTTGTCGTTGCATGCGTTCGGGTCTGATGTGCTTTGGATCACTCTCACACTGCACTTTTAAGAGCATACCAATCCGGTTGGACAATGTTGTGCCGTTACGAAAGCAAACGGACCAGACTTCGATTAAAGCGGACCGCGCAGGGCTGGTGTGATGACATTTCCAGGTGGTTCAGAGGTCACTCGTTCAGATGGCAGACTAAAAGAAGCCAACAAAACCAACTCTGGTCCTTACAGCAGTCATGTTCTCATCACAGTGTTGGGCCCGTGGTGTGCTGACCGGTGTACCGATGTTTTATGCTGCAGAATTATTTTTATGCATTTAGCGGCTAGCCTCTGGAAAGTGTGTTTGAAAGTGAAGCGCTTTCGTTGGATTTTCCACACATCAGTGAACAATTTATTGACCGGATCCTGAGTGATCAAACGTTTAAATGTTAATGGTGAGTCTGCGCAACAGATCTCAGCGGAGGTCTGTCCTTTATAAATGTGCCCAAACCGACTAATAAGACATTTTTACTAAAGATTGGTCACATTTTTTGTACCACAGCAACTTTCTCGTTCACTGCACAACCATTCAACCCTCCTCTGTGAGAAAACAAAAGGAGCGGGCCGCTTGCTAGCTTGTGGCTACCGCAGCGCGTGTTTCTGAAACAAACGAGCAGTCTGACAACGCGAGAAGCACAAGCCCAGAAAGTTTGAGCTGCTGATTTCATTCTGCCTTTAAGAGAAATTGCATGAGCTAAACTTCAGAGAATGTGCTCCACCGTGTAGCCCGTCTTCAGCACCACAAAGCCCAGCTGGAGTTTATTAACTTGTTAGTGGCTTTGCTACTTTTTTCTCTGCACCACAGGCACAAACACACAAAAAGCCTGCCAGGCACTGTGCAACCAACACAAGATAAAACAACGTTCAGCAGCAGAACAAAGCCAGA